GGGATCGATTAATTTTATGTTTTTAAAACCCTCACTGTAATGAAATGACTCATTTCATATTATAAAGACAAAGGGTAATTAGTAGACTTAATTGCAACACTATAAATTTTTTTTCTGCAACTTATACATTATTAAAGACCCTCTAACCAACAAAGCCATGGTTTGTTTTGAATCTTGTGCAGAGCTAAACGATGGCTATCTACAATAGCCATCCCTAATTAAGCAGTGACAGACTACAGGGAAGACAGCTAGTCAACATCAATCACTGCCAACTATTCTTTTGACAACAAACAGTGGGATTGACCAACACCCACCTGACTGGAAGGGCAAGTATATTTGGAGATGGGGATTTGAAACAGCTACTCTTAGATCGCGAGTTGAGCACCTTAGCCACAAAGTCATGGATCCACAAAGAATTTGGTCCATATAATTTACAGAAATGTGATTAAAAACTGATAGGGGCCCACATGGATCCAATCAGTAATTTTAGAGTTAAAAAGACATAATGACACCCCAAGCAAATTTTAGGGAGAAGTGTAAAACATTGTATCAAGACAAAGAGTACATTAAGGTAAACATATTTTAATCACGGCCCAGTTGTTTACTACAACTCACCAAGTGTCCATATCATGCAACAACAAAGTACCAGCACCATTTACTTTTAGATATTTCAATTACTAAATTAATTCAGGGATAGTTAAGTTGAAAAATATCGTCTAAGAGGAACTGCTTCAAAACGAAGTTAATAATATTGTGCTTATGTGTAGTGCCAAAGACTTAAGGGATACAGTTAAAAGTTTGTCCTAAACCCACCACACCTTAAATTGAAATAGTACAGTCTTCCATTTCATGTCATTGAAGGTCCTATACTTGATACTTAGAACTACTTGAAAATTTAATTACCCAGATTAGGTAAATACAATAATGACTATAGAGCTTTGAAAATCAATGTGTGCATCATGTTTTTATAAGAATTCCAGTTTATTTTATTGGCATTATCATGTATAGCCTATCATATTTCTAAAAACTTAACAAAGCTCTAGAACAAAAAAAAAGAAGATTGGTTGATGAAACTCCCCTAGCTTGTCAGTATAGACACAAAAATTAAAGTGAAACTACAAATACTGACATGTTTAATAAATATTTAAAATGTATTACTCTTTGTCTTCTATAGTTAATTGGTAGCCTCTAGATTCTGAAGTAAATAAGAAGGATGTTTAATGAAATTCACACTTTATAGGATCTAAAAAAAAAAATAGCCACTAAGTCTACCAAGATGAAGATCATCTGTGGACTTTGGATCAACCACAAATACATGATGTAATCTGATATGATAAGCTTGATGAGTAAACACTACTATCAGTGATACAATTTAAAAGCCTACAGATCAACAACCCTTCAGGTGTCAAGACTCATACCCGTTAGGTATTCACCTGTGAATTAATTGACTTGTTTTTGTACCAGTTGACTCACACACTCAGCTAGATTATCACAAAAAGTTGAGACTATCAGATCTTTATCCAATCTAAATTAGGGTGAGTCAGATAAACAACAATTCAATGAATGGGTGTAGAATGTGAACAAACAAAACAGATTAATCTAAAAAAATATAGGTGTGTATGTGAACAAAATAACTAAATCATTAATTGCTTGTTCATATATATTCAATCAATGCCCTTCTATCGGTTATTTGAGGCTGTTATAAAAGAACCACTTCTTCCGGTTATTTGAAAGAGGTAATTGGGAATTAGCAATTCTTTTTATTAGTGACATTTTCATAAAACGTTTTTACAAAGATGTTTGAAAACAATAAATACATTATTTAGTTGTCAGAAATGATCAGAAACAAATATAAGGGTATGAACTACAGGTGGAAATAAAACAAAGGATAGGATATTAGAGGAACTGTATCTAGAACTGTTGCCTAAAGTTCAGACTTTTGGAGTGGGGATAGGGGTGAGATTAGATGCTCAAAACCAGAACTGATGTCTTAAGTAACAAGCTACTCTGAATTTGTATGAAATATTTATCAAGTCTTACAGAAAACAAAATTAGAGTGGTTCTTTTATAACAGCCTCAAATAACCAGAAGAGGTGGTTCTTTTATAACAGCCTCAAATAACCGGAAGAGGTGGTTCTTTTATAACAGCCTCAAATAACCGGACGAGGTGGTTCTTTTATAACAGCCTCAAATAACCGGACAAGGTGGTTCTTTTATAACATCCTCAAATAACCGGACAAGGTGGTTCTTTTATAACATCCTCAAATAACCGGACAAGGTGGTTCTTTTATAACAGCCTCAAATAACGGGAAGAGGTGGTTCTTTTATAACAGCCTCAAATAACCAAAAGAGGTGGTTCTTTAATAACAGCCTCAAATAACAGAAAGGGGTGGTTCTTTAATAACAGCCTCAAATAACAGAAAGGGGTGGTTCTTTTATAACAGCCTCAAATAACCGGAAGAAGTGGTTCTTTTTTAAAACAGCCTCAAATAATCGGAAGAGGTGGTTCTTTTAAAACAGCCTCAAATAACCAGAAGAAGTGGTTCTTTTATAACAGCCTCAAATAACGGAAGAGGTGGTTCTTTTATAATAGCTTCAAATAACGGGAAGAGGTGGCTCTTTTATAATAGCTTCAAATAACGGGAAGAGGTGGTTCTTTTATAATAGCTTCAAAT